CTCGGATGAATAAGTCATTTGAAAAATACTGTTGATACAACAGGAAGCTTAGCTACAATGCATAAATTAAGGAAGAAAAAAATCTTTTTTCTTAAGGGGTCACAGGCTTTGTAAGATGAAAGAGATAACACAAACCACATGACCAGTTTCCCTTTATGCTACCCATAGAAAAATTTCTTTCCTTTGAAGTCATTTGCACCTCACTGCCAATTTCCTGAAAAGCTCATTTAAAACAATCCCATGTAGAAGTCTATTTATGATCTTTCATTTCTGATATAGGGATCCGAGACCCAGAATGTCCTTTCCGGTCTGTAAGCCTTTACTGTCACATTGACTGTGTGGTATAATCCCATTATTTTATCAGATTTCATCTTAATCAGTAGGTTTCCTGGACCTCATTATTCCTAAAAGGAAGTCGTTTCAAATTCCAGTAGTGGTTTGGTTATCATCCTAAACATCGTGCTCTTTTTCCTCCCTGATATTTAGCCACAGATATATTTTTAAAAAGAAGTCACAAAACCACAGCTTTAGTTTTTGCCATGCTAAATAATACTTGCCCTTTCAGCCTCCTGTCACATCATGCTGGTAGCTGTTCTTGGTTCCCTTTCCAGTTAGCATTAGGCTTTCTGGTTTTGTCTGTGTGAAGGCTCACCAGTGACATATCAGCGATGGCGTTATGTTTCCTTACCTCTACTGGAAACAATTCTCCTAATTCATCCTAATAATAAATTTGTTTGATTCAGAGTCACGTCAAATGGTTAGTTATAACCATTTGTAGGTTATAACCATTTGTAAGTTATAACCATTTGTAGGTCACAAATACAGTCAGATTTTCCTTCCTTTTCTTCTTCCATTTCTAACTGATAACCCTACAGTTCTTCAGTTAGAAAAGGCCTATTTCTGGTCTGTGAGTATAAATGTTTGCATTTTTGTTACTCCAGCCCAAAAGGTGATCCAGTTTCTTAGATAGTATTTTGATCATCTTCTATATTGACTAAAGATTCCCTACTTTGTAATCAGCCAATGTCATTAATCCAGTCCTCGCTCTTAATTCCTAAATTAGATTGAGAATTGTCCCAAAGACAACCCACAAGATCTTTAACTTCTGCCTTTCCTCCAGCCTAATGTTCCCCTTTCAACACAGGCTGTGATCAGTTCCCCGCCCTCCTGTTTCCCAGTTCCTCACGCGTCTTAAAATTCCTGTGCTGCTATCCCTCCTTCCTTCCTTAACTAGTAATTTCCCAGGGGGAACCTGTTATCACTGAAGTGCTTTCTTGATTCAATTGTTCAGGCACAATTCTGTGAGGTATTGTCCAGCTGGTACAGGGTATCACTGCTGAGCATCCTCCAGTGTCATTACAGTGATGGGAGTGGAAAGCCCTCAGCAATGTTTCAAAATGTTTCTGATTTGGGCTGTAATTCATCGTAAGGACCCCTCCTCAGCAGGATATCAAAGATCTGCTCTTTCCTGCTCTGTTGGCTCCGAGGAATTTACTTTTTACACTTTAACTGCAGGTTTCATGGCTGTAGTCATAATGCAATTGCCATTTAGTACTTTTCTCAATCCATTTCCAAAGGTGCAATGCAGTCTCTCGTGACTCTGTTTCAAACATAGATTTTCAGAGTCTCATGCAAAATGTTTAAAAGCATTTCTAACATAATTTTAAAAAATAGAAAACCAGCTTACAACTGTGCTATTAAGCATTTTTAAATTCTCTTTACTTTTTTTTTTTAAAAAATAGCAGACATTATATTAGGTAGGCTGCTGGTTTGGGTAGTTTTAACAACTAATTTTACAAGATAGCTATACAAATTATAACAAATCCTCTGTTGAATCTAGGTGAAAGAACTAGTGTGGCAGCATCTATCCTTTTAGCAAGTACATTATTGTATTTGCTGTGATTTTGCATAATAAAAATATAGTATTCACTTCGCGTAAGTTTTGGCAGGTGGAGTATATCTCACCAAAGTAGCAACAGTACTATGCAAAACATGGGAAAAGGTCATCCCTGTTTAAACTTCCATCTGTGTATCATTGGGTTAAAGGAGGCAGTGGTCTGTCAGTGAAAAAAAATGTTGGGTTTTTTTTTCTCTCTTAAATAGCTGTAGAATTTCAGTTTAAAAAGAAAAGAGGTTGTTTTCCTTTTGTGGAAATTTTCCTTCCCCAATAAAATACAAAAGTCTGTTCATGTATTATTTAAAGTGTCTTCCAAGAATCCCAACTACAATACTGGTTGAAAGAGAGAAGGATTAATATCATTTAAAGGAAAGAAATCTTTAAGGTCATTTCTTTTCATGACAAAGAAACTTAAAAAGCATGGCAGACAGGATCTTCAAAGGTTTTTAAAGTCCTGTCATCAGCTCCCAATCAATAGGAGTTAGATACCCAAATTAAGAGTTCAGTTCAAGTCTTCAAAGGTATTTGGGTGCTTAACCCTCTTTTACCTTTCAGATCACTTCTAAGGATAAAATGGCAGTTCAACTGAAAACATTTTGGTGCGATACTTTCATGTCCAGCACCTCGGTAATTTGTAGCACCCACTGATAATTGGCATAATGGACACTTCTCTTACAAGTTCGTTACTTGTTAGAATATATGTAGAGTTGGTCTTGTTTACGAAATTGTTTTCCTTTGTGAAACAAAAATTTTGCTTTTAAAGTTTTTTTTAATACAGAAGAAGATCAGAAGTAAACTTTAAAAAGTGAACTAATAAAATAGCGTTAATGTTTGCAGAGGCGGATAATTTCAAATTTGCAAAACTCCTGAGTTTGTATTCCCTAAGGATGCAGATGAAAACAATTTCTTTGTAACACGTCATACATGTGCTGTCCTAGGCTTTGACTTTCCCGGTCCATGCTTGCATATCTGCCTGTGCAGGATAAGGCTCCTGACAGATAACTGAAGTTATTATCAATGTAAAAAAAATAAAGACCATGTATAAATGTGTTCAAAATATGTTGCCTGGCATAGATCTTCCATGCACTATTAATGTCTCTCAAAGTTTGACAAGCCTCCACCTAAAGGGCGATCCCACTGGGAGCTGTGTGATACAGTCAGGACTACCCCTGCCTTTTTTTTTTTTTTTTTTAAGTATTTGTAAAAATCTTAGATGGTTCAGATCTACTTGAAGTATTCTGTCTGGTAGCGGTGCCTTGGGCATACACAGTGGAAGTGGCAGTGCCCCGTGTTAACATGGAATTGCTGTTTGTTTACAGTCTTGAGTCACTGAATCCTTCCTGTCAAGCAGAAAGCGTTCATTATAATGCAGGCACTTGCCATCTCCACAGCCCGCTCTTGAGTGACATCAAAACATAAGTCAGAATATTATTGTCATATGCCTTAGAGTTCATGAATGGGCCGTGGATCCCAAAGCGTCAGGCGTTGAGTGGCATGTTTGGTCTTTTGGAGGAGCAATTCTGCCTCTAGTCCAGCATTTGCATCTCTGAGACAGTTGTCACAGCTGCTCCCAGTGATGTTGACTGTCATGTTTTTTAGTGCAAATGCACCTCATGTGAATAGCTAGGCAGTGGTTACACTCCACATTTTATGGGTTTTCTTTTTGTTCTGTGTCAATCTGGCCTTTCTTTAGAGTCGGTGCTGAGAGCCACTTGCTTTGAGGCTGGGAAGTGGACGGGGCAGAGCAGACACGTTTGCTTTCCTGTGTTTACGTCCAACTTGGGGCCCTTTATCACTCTAAAGAAAGAGCAGCCCCGCCGGCAGCCCGGCTCCCAGCACCAGGACCGGCCGCGGGATTCTTGCTCCCGCCACTGCGGAGGAGCGGCTGCTGAGCAGGAGGAAATGAGTCTCAGCAGGCACAAATCTATTGCCTGTGTTTTTATTCTTTCCATTTCTTTCAAACAGAAAACAGTCGGAGCAGTTTCTGAGGATGAGGGATATAAATCTGTCTGCTGCTATTTATACCGTGCTCGTCACTACAGCATCTAAATGCTTAAGTATGTATTTGGTGCCTAACCTGAGGTGGTCTTCAAGCCGCTTGGGCTGTCAAGAGCAGGCGTGTTTCAGACCAGCAGCGGAGAGGAGTCCCAGGAGACGTCCAAGTCTCATTCTTACTCCTGCTCAGGCTGTGGCAGGTTGGCTGTTAGACACGAGGCCGTTCGGGCGTTGTGCGGTGGGAAGGTGGTACCGTGGACCTTCCTGCTTGACACGGTGTTGAATGGTGACCCAGAGGAGTGACTTGCATCCGTGCAATAAGCACCTGCTTTACTCTTCAGTAATATTGAACAGGAACATTTCGTGCTGTTCTTCTTTGGGTGGGTAGACAGCAGTGGATGAACTGTGTGGGTGCCATAAAAATGGGTCTGTCTGTTCTGGATGGGTATTTTAATAAGCAAATATCTTCCCTTTGTTTTTATTTGAATAATAAGGTGCTCCTTTTCTGTCTGATCTCTTTCAAACATGCATCATTTTCACCACATGCACCTACATATTATTCTTTATTCCCATATTCTACATGGACATTCAAATAATATTAAAACCACTGATTCATTGAAATACTTTTTAAACTGTTGTTGTTAGTCATTTTTGTATTGACTGAATTTTTCATTGGTAATATAGTTGGCAGCAGTCCATGTCTGCCTGGCTGGAGGCCAGTTTAAGCTCGGCAGGATGAGCCCTATTGTTCAGCAGACTTGGATTTTGTTAAACTCTCTAACAGAAATATGTGTCAGGAGATTTGCAGCTATAAATTGGATCATGTCGGTGAGGTTGGGAACTCGCTCAATACGAAATTGAACATTTCGCCATGCCTGTTGCTAAATATGTTTATGCATGTTTCCTCCATGGGTTTCAAAAAGGAAAAAAAAAAAAAGGAAAAAATAGAAGAAAAGTGAAAAAAGCTAGACCTGTTGAGCTCTGTCTTTACCTTATAGACCTGGTACTTTATTTGATGTTGAGCAGTTGAAAAATGCAGCAGGCTTGGTTTTGTGCATTGCAATGTTAAAAGCAAGTCTATTTTCCCTTTTTTCTCTGTGTGTTACAGGCAGTCAGATGCCACCGCAGCCTCCTGGCAGCCAGTCAGAATCCAGCTCCCACCCTGCCTTGAGCCAGTCACCAATGCCACAGGACCGAGGTTTGTTAGGTGTTGGGGCTTTTTTAGTTGGTGCCAAATGCAGCCTTCATTTTAAGTCGCATATTAGCAATGTGAGATTTCCTGGTTTTTCTTTCATTTTCCTAGGGAAAATAATGACAGTCTTCATTGTAAAAGGCTCGGGGGGTTTCCTTCTCTGGGGAAAGAGCAATTGAATAGCAGGTTTTACCAAAATATAATTGGAAACAAGGCTTTCTCAAAATACAGTGAATGCCCAGAGTATAAAGGCAGTTTGCTGTAAATACTTGATACATACCCTAGAGAATTCAACTTTTCGTTGTCTGTCTTGGAATTAAGATGTATAGAAATAGTGCTAGCTACAAGCACTGCAGTTTTGCTACTGTTCTTAAAATTCTCATCTCTGATGTCTTTGCATGGACATGATAGCTAGTCCTCTAGCCAGTTCTAGGAAAAAAAAAACCTTTAAATATAAAGGGAAATCAACTATTTAGGTCAAATGGTTCAAAGATTTGGAAATCTTGCAAGGGAAAACCTTGCAGGCAACAGCACTGTTCTAAAAGGGTGCTTCCTAGCAGGTGCTCACAAAAATAAACAGAGTGGTTTTTTTCCTTAATGTTACCATTTATAAACTTTAAGCCCTTTTCCTTTCGCCTCCTTCCTCCCTAGCTCATGAAAGATGGTTGTCATAGCTTTGTTGTGCGGCCATACAATCAACTGCTGTAAACTGGGCATCCTGTCCATGCAGTGGTTAACATGTGCCAGCGACAAGCTTGCAAAACAGACACATGATAACTGTGATAAACACGGAGTTATTTATGAAATGCCCCTCCTAAAATGTCTTGCTACCAGAAATATTCCAAGTAGCACCATATGGGGATACCGTAAATACTAGAAGTTTTCTCACAGTGAAACAAGTTGAACTCACAGAATGACAAATTTCTGGGATAGCATCCAGGAGGAGCTAAGAGGACTCACAAACAAGAGGAGAGAGTCTTAATTTTTGCTATTTCTCTGTGTTGGATGTCCCCTCTTCCATGAATGCTGATTAATGAGAACATGAAACACACAATTCCACACTGGACTCATGGTTTTTTTTCCTTTTCAGGTTGTTCTTTATATACAGTTGTTAGTGCAGGGACCTATTTTCCCCTTAAAAAATTTTTAGAATAATGTACATGTTTGGTGAAAAAAGAATGGCCTCGGTATCCAGTACAAATATATGATGTTTTGTGGGATAGAATGTCACAAGGCAGTGGGAATGAATCAGATTGAGGCTTTGAAGACCCAAGCATCTCAGAAAGATGTGTGCATTTCCTGGCACAACTGGGTCTTGGCACAAAATGTTACACTGCTCAGCAATAATTATTTCTGCAGTGTGTGTTCCTCACCTGGCTTTGGGGGATGAGTTAGGCAGGTCTGACAGAGCTGGAGGGATCAAACCTCTCTGTTGCTGCTGTAGAACAAAACTGGGGGTCATTGTATGGTTGGCGGAGGCAGAGGAGTATTCAGAAGTAAAACAGAGAAGACACCTGCCATAACTGGGAAGTCAAACGAGTAAATAACAGTGAGAGAAATAAAATTTACAGATTTATTTAGTCTGGTTCTTCCTCTGTGCGGGGCAGGGAGAATTGTGGGTATGTTCTTAGAGAAAATGTATTTGGGAATGTTGCGATTTTTGCACTCTTCATATGCAAAATCTGGTGTAATATGCATGATCCTTGTGACCCAGCTTGTACAAAAGTCCATTTGTTTCATGTAGCAGATACGAAATTTGTAACTAGCTAGGTCATATCGATTTTGCAGGACGTGTTCCCCAAAGCTTCTCTAAAGTCTGTGCTATACGCGCATAAACATGCGTGCATTCCCTCTTGCGCCCTGTCATTGATTAGAGGCTCCTTTGAAATGGAAAACTTCACCTTTTAAAAAGGCTGTTATATTAGTTGATTCCTTTGCTTGGTTGAACTGGTTTCCACTGAACTTGAAGAAAGGAAGGAGGGGGAGTGATGGGGACTCAAAGGGAAGGTGCTTGTCATTTACTGATAAAAACCTGAGCAGAAAATCGTTGCTGCTAAGGACACCTGATCCATAGGCATCTGCTACAGTAATTTAAACTCTTAGCTTACTGATACACTTTCTCCCCCCCCCCCCAAAAAAAAAATAAAAAAAAAATTTAAAAAGAAAAAAAGAAAACAAAAAACCCAGAGAACCTCCATAGGATAAGATAATGTTGTTTGGTTTAGCACTTTGTATAACATTTCTTGACTTGTTTAGAGAGAGAATTGAATGAATGGAAGACTACTAATCGTTTCTTGAGCAGAATCCTCTGCTCTCAATACTTGAAAAAAATGTTGTTTACCAGATATTGTGAAGCTTGATTGACAGGCCAGGAGTCTGAGCTGTAGCACTTCTGAATGCTAAACCACTACCTTGAACCATTAAGTTTACACTTACTTATTTTATTATGAAAGTGTTTGATTATATTTTAACCTACTTTCCATGGTTACTCAGCACCCAGATGGGATTTTTATGTTTGCCTGCCTAAGGCTATACATCCTCTGTCATACAGTGCAGCATGAAGCGATGAGCATATTGTTACATGTACATTCTGTGTGTGGAAGGAGGGGAGTGGTAACATAGGTACATGTGTACAGCAATAGGAGTTTCTTGGGGGGTTGGATTTTCTGTGCTCTCAGCTTGGTTTTCATACAGCTTATTTCATCATCAGCCCCCAGAGGTAGGGCAGCGGTGATACCACAGCTGTCATAACCATTTGGCAAATAATTGAGGTACACAGTCGCTTGAGTTCCCTATATTCAGCTGTACCTACTTATCTTGTCTGTTTGGGGTTTGGGAGCTGCACTTTGCGGGTGTGCTTAGTAGCCAAAACTGCTCAGTGGGTTAGAAGTTATTTGTATGGATCAAATAGAAACGCAGCATATCCAAATTGCCCCCCTAAATCAGTTTCCTGAAGCTGCGGCGTGAAAAAGAAGCCTTCCATCCTGGCCATTAGCTTATACTCCCACTCTTACTTTTGTAACCTAACGGAGATGTCCGTCTGTGTACATGAATACTCACCTACACAAAAACTAATAGGAGAATATGTGTCACAATAATTTGAAATAGGCACTTTTACCCCTGCAGAAATGGATGGTTCCTTACCTAATTTTGAAAAAGCTTAGAAAACTTACCTACTTTTAAGTAGTATTTTTCATGCTTATCCAGTTGGATATGTACACGTCAGGTTTCAGTCTTATATTAAAACAGTGAATTGGGAGCTCCTGAAAACCATTGAATTTAATGGAAACAGTTAATGACTTCAAGTTATTACTCTAGCAAGCACACTCATAATGGGGATACTTAAAGAAGCCTTATTTATTAGTGCAAATGTATATGGGTCAGAATTAATTTTTAAAAAATCTTTAATTGTTTTCCCCTTATAATTTTCACAGCGGTATGTAGTTAAATATTCATGATAATGCTGATGATATGCTAAAGGTCTGAAATAGATCTGGAGTCTCAAAATCAACACAGGTTATTTAACCCTTTTCATCTAATGCACCATTGGGGACTTGCTCAGTGAAATCCCAGAGCACTGGAATAATTAGAAGATAGTAATGAGGATTTAATTAGTCCTTGAGATATGCTGAAATAGGACCACTGAGAACTTTTCTGTTTGGACATGGATTGCAAGCAGAATTGATGCCGCTGCAGCTGCTGTGATGTGCTGGAAAATGTATTCTATTGCTGGAGGCAGTTTCATGGCACCATTCTGTGCCTGTCAGATCTATGTGGAAAGTGCCCGGAGTAAGCACCTCCGAAATTGTTGAATAGTAGGCTTCCTCTTCTCCGTCACCTCCTCCCAGTACCTTTTCTTTTTTCTTTTTTTTATGTCATTCTTTCCATTCTAGCTTGCTTTCTTTCTGTTGTTGACATGATCCAGCTTTTGAGGATTGCTGTACAGTTGTATGCTCTATTAAAAACATATCACAGACAGGGACAGGGAGTAAGAAACTGCAGGCTTGTAGGAGTACAGGTGTTATACTAAGCAAAATTTGGATCTTTTTGACACAACTGCTTGTGAGCTTTATCCTCACATCTAGTCCTTATTTAGTATGAGATCTTCAGAGAAGTGATATTTATCAGTAGCTGCAATGTAGTAAATTTAAATAGCTTTTTTGGCAGCCAAGATGTTATCCAGCAAGAGGTAGTAACAGATGGGATGTGATCAGGCATTTTGATGTTCTCTTTGTGCTTCCCTATAAACACTAAGTAGCAACTGAATTCCTGTAACTACAATTTCCTAATTTGCCCGTTAGATTTCATATAGGTATTTTTTTCCCCTTTAACTGTTTTCTGGGCATGCTTATTTGTACGCAGTCATCACATAAATTCCACTGTCATGTATTTTCTTCTAACAAAATATAAATGTTTTTGCTTGTGTGGAAGACACAGAATACCAATCTGGCATTTTGCACCTACAATTCCTGATCAGATTTATGGCCTAATACTGACATTTGATGATAGAGATTCTTTTCCCTGAGATCTATTTTCTTCTTAAAAAAAGAAACCAGAAGGAAGAAAATAGATCAAAGAATTCTTATTGCAACAAAAAAGACACTGTAGTTTGCTTTTAGATCTTAAAAAGACTTTTTCTCTGAGAATACGTTTTTTGCTCTCATTTGGGAATTTGGGATCTATTCAGAGCACGGAGGAGCTAGAGAATAAAATGATTCTTGTCATTAAAATTCTTCTGCTTGCCATGTTAACGATGACACCACTTAAGGTTAAATCAGACTTGGTAATAAGTTTACTTGATGTAGACTGAAGTGTTTCAGGCTCTTAAAGAAAGATGCTTGAGACATGCACTGAGTGCAAAGCCACAGGTATGTTTGAGTGCCTCTTCTGCACATAGCGTTCTCCAAGTGGGTCAGTGCAGCGGAGCTGAGCTCCAGCTGGTTCGCAGGAACACCGTGCCAGGCTGGTGTTCATGCCTAGAAAACTGGGGTTAGAGGAATTGTGCC